TGATAGCATATTAACCTTGTATTAATGATAATACCAAAATCCACCAACATGGAAGCCTTGTTCTTGATTTGGTGTCCAATGCAAGGGTTCTTTGATAATTTGCAGGAACATCCTGAGTGGGAGATAAAGAACGGGTTTGTGATTTTCCAAAAGGCAAAAGAATCTACACCTTGCAAGGAGATACCATCTCTGCAACTCATCAATCAGACACTCAGTTATGCAAGGGAGTTGGAGTGGATAGTGTAAAAGATATGCTGCTTGATGTTGTCAATGCTAGTACCATTCTATGGTCCAACTTCCTGATGCTAAACTTGTGTTTTGCTGAATTTTTCCTGTTGTTAGGATCACTTTTTGTAGTTAAATTTGTTGACTGTTTGCATTCGGAGAATTTTGTTTTGGCTTCCCTCAATTGAATACTTGATTTCTTTTTCTTTCTTATCATTTACGAAACACAGTTTATTTTAATTGCAATCGTGTAAGGAGAACAAGAAAATTAAACTGAATGGCTGATTGGATTAAGAATCCTCTCTCTCTCTCTCTCTCTCTCTCTCTCTCTCTCTCTCTCTCTCTCTCTGTATGTAGCACATTGTTAAAGTAGTGTTAGTGATGCAATGTTTGTGAGTTCAATTTCAATTTTTTGCACGATTAAGCTTCAGTAATAACCAACTTCACTTGATTAAGCTTATAATGTGTTTTACAATTTGGGATTCTTTTTTGTGTACCAATTATTACGTGGTCCTAAGTTTTTGTATTTAAAACTTAGAAATGAATCGATCTGTGAATTAATTTTTTCCAAGAATGCTTGGTTACGAGGAGTGTAACCAACAGTAGGTGGGCTTGATTGTAGAACCGATACATTCTGTGTATGTATTACTGTATAAATTGTAATTAGCTTCACATAAACATAGATCAATCTAATGCTAGCCCAAGAATGGTTGTGTAAATTTTAGATGTTTTGAGTTATTTAACAATGACTATTTGCAAATTATGATTTTAAAATTAAAATATATTTACCATGATTGTGTAAATCTTAGACAAGCCTTTTTTCTTGTATTGGTATTAATTTTTATTTTATTTTATTTATGTTGTTAATATTTTATTTGAAATAGTTTACAGTTTTTCTCAAGTTTAGTTTGAATTTGAGAGAACTTGAGGGCCTGTGGGCCTCATCAAGTGTTTCATCATTTTATAAGACTGTTAGTCTGTATCATCTATGGAAGAAAATGAGATTGATTCAATAATTGTAACCATTTTATTTTATGGTGTTCGTTTACCAAAAGTGAATGATTTATTTTAAAAAATATACTTGTCTATTTTTTTTTTAAGACAAACGAGATAAAATGAATAGGTTACGATTATTGAATTGATATAAACATTTTTATAGGTGATAAAAAATCAAGGGCTTCACAAAATGAACAGTTCGAAACAATGAAACAGAACCTCAAGTTCAAAGCCTAACTTTTTATTTGATAATACAGAGTCGGACCTCAAGTTCAAAGCCTAATTTTTTATTTGATAATTAAGAGTCAGTTATGTGGTTGAATGAGAGATTAATAGATGAATGAGTTCTTATACAAAAAAATTATGTATTTGACACTATTGACAATTGGATTATTATGTAACGATTCCAAAAATAAAATATCATCCAATGCAATTGTAAAAGTTTATGTTCTTTTTTCTTTTTCTTTTTTTCAAGACAACGATATAATAGTTTTACAGTTTATTTAAAGTTTGAAAATTTTAAATGTTTAGTTTATTTATTTTTGTAATCGAATTTGTTTAACATACATGTAAGGTGACTCATTTATAAAAAAAATTGGAGTTGTAACTAAATCTGCTAAATGATTATGATGACGGATTGTCCCATCTGGAGTTAGCCCGTCGACGGCGGACTGCGGTAGTTCCTCAATGTGTGCCATTGTTTCTGAAGAGGAGAAGCTTAATCAAGAGGTTTCGTTCTGTTTGTTTTTCCCACAGACGGCGCCAATTGTACGGGAAAGAAATAAACCTTCTCGTATAATCCTGTTGACCAAGTCTGCGCTCCTCCGTACGACATCGCTTTATCACCTGAAAACACAAACGTGAGCTAGCCAGCGGGTGTGTGCTGGAAACCTCTCCGATGCCTAAGTCAGCAAACTTGACAAATAGACAAAGTTCTGTGTATTCAGAAAGCAAAGTTGTGTGTTACCTCCTCCAAGGTGATGCTTGTGAGCTTTTATAAGTTTCGTGTGGCACAATCCTAGTATGACTTCTACTCCTTCATGCAGAGTCCGCCTAGGATTCATACTCCTGAAAGATAATGCTTATTCTTCAACACCCCCCTCACTGCTTAAACCAAGTGAGACGGCTTTTACCATGGCCGAACTACCACATGACCGAAATAATACTGGCTATGCTGAGCCACAGAGTAGGCCGAACTATCCTTAGTTTGGTTCTTTCTTTGCTACTCCCTATCTCGGTTCTTTCATGTACAAACCATGGTATGTTTAGACCGAGCTACCGAGTAGCAAGGTTCTGACCGTTCTAACCACAATACGTCATGACCGGACTAACTCTGAGACCGGCCTAACTCCAAGTTGCTTCCGGATCGGAGTAACTTTACATTTCTTGGGCCGGAGTAACTTTATCTCTCTTGGGCCGGAGTAACTTTATCTCTCTTGGGCTGGAGTAACTTTTCGGTCTTTTTACCCAGTCCTTCGTACTTTGGGCCATAAAGTCCATCTCATAGCTCGGCCCAATTTTCACCTAAAATTACCCTCTCAAAACCGATTGACAGAAATTTTAAAAATCAAATAATTTATAAGTTGCTCAGTTAATTAATCTGAGCCAAACAGCCCCTTTGAAGTCTGTACATTTCGTCAACGCGGCTTGTAGGGACAGATTGAGGACTTTGTTTAAAAAGTACATATGGGATAACCATCTGAACCTTATTAGAACCCGAGATTTTTTATTTTATTTTTTTGAGGACTTTAATTTTGAAAAGGACATATGGGATAACCATTTGAACCTTATTAGAACCCTTCCAATCCCAATAGATAAAAGAGAGGAGGGATGGCATAGTGATAAGCCTTCTATTCGAACCTGCCTTGAACCCCATAATAATATATTAGTGGCTCGGAAAAAAACAAAAGGGGAAATAAGTCGGTGCCCTTTCTTGGTTATCTATATAAATAAAGGTGGTTGGGTTGAGGTCCCCAGATAAGTTATTCTCGGAAAATGGCCAAATCTGATGGATATAATAGCCCTTTTGATTACAGTAGCGATGAAGAAAAGGAAATTGAAGCATATTTCCCTGACGATTTCAAGCAATATGTGGACACTCAACTCAACCGCTGCCCACTGGTGCGTCCGGATTGTGGTTTCTTCGGTGGATGGGTTTTCTGGAGCCGAGAAGACGACCAATCCGAACATCCTCCGAGTGAGTGGGACTTTTATTATGTCTCTTCTCTTTCTCTCTTCTTCTTCTTCTTCTTCCTCCTCTGAATATGGCATTTATTTATTTAATTTGTAATCATGGAGTTTTATTTATAACTCAATTTTAAATCAACACAGTTACCTACTACCTGTTTTTCAAATCTCACTTCTCTCCTCCAATTTTTTTTTTTTTTTGTTATCAGATATTTTGGATTTAAAAAAGAAGATCAAATATGTCCTTCGAAAGTGGTTACTCGATTGGTTTGAATATCCATCACTAGTTCAATTTTGGGCATCCACAATGACAATGGAGGACCGGTCTTATCTTACCACTCAAAACCAACCTTTCGCTCTTTCTACATTTGATACAAGAATTGATGATGATGTTAAAGGACCTGTTAGAGGACTTTGTGGGTATAGGATGATTTCTAAGGACTATAAATTTTACACGGATAGAGAGAGTTCAGATGAACAACTTGGGGCTCCTGGCCGTGTGTTCAACCATGGATTTCCCGAATTGACTCCCAATGTAGAACATTACTCTATCAAAGAGTATCCATTGCGCGACCATGCTTTACGTTGCCAAGTTGCACAATCTTTGGCTATCCCACTGTTTGATCTTTCTGCCCACTTATGTGTTGGTGTACTTGAGATAGTTTCAACAATGCCCCCAATAGACTTTCTATCGCACTACTGGGTTGACTGGGAGGTTTTCTGTAATTATTTCAAGGTTGGTCCCCCAACTCACAAATTGGCATTTTTTATGTCTTTCTAATCTTGGTTGATTCATTCCTTTTTTATATGCATACAGAATTGTGCTATCAAAAAAAAAAATTAGATGAGAAGTGTGTTTTTAATAGGGTAAATTACAAAAATATAATTTGTTTAAAATACAGATTATTCCATGTGACTCTGAAAAGTACATCACGCCTCTTCAAACTTTTGATTGTATAACAAATGATTCATTTTATTAATAAATCATCAATTGCTGGAAAATGGCTCTGTGCTCCTCATGTGTCTATCCTACATGAAATTCATAGTTTTTTTGACCAACTAAACACAAATTACAAAAATGAAAGCGCTAATCTTTTGAAATCAAAATTAATCGGACTAAAATAATTAATACAGGACAAAGCTAGATGGACTATTAGCACAACTATTATTTGTTCATTTTTTTTCATCTTGTCAGTGCTGAATGGCATGTGAGGAGTATGTAATTGCATCATTTCCTCACGTTTGTTATCAATATCAATGTGACGCAAAATGTAAAATTAAATGGTAAATTGTTATAATTAAAATTATAAGATCCAAAAAGATACAATGAATAAACTATTGAATTGAGGATAAGATAGCGTGTTGTTTATCTTCTCAGCATGAGCTTCTATGGTAGAAGGAAAGAAAGCAAAGCAAAACGGCAAGTTGTATTTTTTTTATTGCATTCCGTGCTCATTTAGCTGTGACTAAATTGTTTTTCCATTTTAGAGTCTCTTATATGCTTCCTTTTCTTGGCAAACAAATATTCTACATTTCAAAGTGTACAAGATTCCTTAGTCGCATCTTTCCATTCCCCTGCAGGAGGTAGGTCTGGAATCTTCAATTTCGGTTGCAGACCATCACAAGGAAAGAGTAAGTGGTACACTGTAATGTAATGTCAAATTTGATATTTTATTTTATTTTTTAAATTAATATGATAAGGAATATCTTCTGACAATACTTGGACGTGACAATACTTTTCAACCAATTTCAGAATGTGAAAAAAAGTGAAGCCTTACATGAAATCAGCAAGGTGTTGGAAGTTGCACGTGAAGTTCATGGTTTACATTTTGCTCAAGTATGGGCCCCGTGCAGAGTAGACTGGATATGCAGGGCACTGATTGAGGGTGACATCTTCCATGTGATGCCCAGATTCGATGAAGTTGCCCGCTACGAACTGCCCGCTATGGCCAGAGCCGAACATCACTTAAGAAAGGGGCAAGGAGTTGTTGGGAGAGCATTCTACTCCCCTAATGTATTATTGTGCAAGGATGTATCCCAACTTAGCATAATTGACTACCCATTGGCACACTATGCACGAGATGCTAAATTAGGTGGTTGTTTTGCAATATGCTTGCAAAGTAGTTGCACCGGAAATGACATTTACGTGTTAGAGTGCTTTATGCCGCCAAGCAACAAAGACTACTATGGTAATCAACATACTGCATTGAGGAAAATATTGGAAACATTGAAGAAAAGTTTTCGTACTTTTAAGCTTGCTTCTGGAGAAGAACTTGGGGGACATTTATATATTGAAGAAATTCCTTTTCAGAATGGTGAGAAACTTGATTCTATTCAAATGTCCCAAACTACTAAATCTTTGCCTAGGCTGGAGCCCTTACAAAGTGGAGGAGAAAGTAACCTCAAAGGTATCTGCACTCTTAACAAATTAAAATAAAATATTGCTTGTGATTTTACTTATTATTTTCAACTCGACACTCTTCTCGTAAAGAAATATTTGACATTTTGCACCAACAAACATAAAGTTGTGTCTCATACCTAGATTCTTCCTTTTGCAGTTAGCCGATCTACACTAAAGCGTGTTTGTAGACGTTATGGTTTCCCGAGGTGGCCACCATGCAAGAAGAATATGGTTGGTCAATCTCAACCTAGTGAATCTTCCCGGGGTGTTGATCATCAACAAATATCACAATTAAATTTTGATCTGCCTTTCAATCAAGCCTCAACTACTGTTGTTCACGCAAACCCACATAATATAGCAATTGAAGATGCAAATATTGTGACCATGAGGGCAAAATATATGAATGATATTACAATAAAGTTTCAGCTGTCTTTGTCATCAGGACTGGTTGAGTTGCAACAACAAATAGCTAAGAGGCTGCACTTAGAAGCTGGAAGTTATTATGTCAAGTATAAAGATGAGGAAGATCACGTGATTTTAATAGCTTGCGATGATGACTTGCAGGATTGTATTAGCACTTACAGATTGCTGGGAACTTCCATCGTGGTATCGATTGATCCAAAGTAGTCAATTACCACTAACCAACTCGAATCATCTCAATTTTTTTTGTTGCTGCTATATTTTCTTTTGTTCTATCTTTTGATTCTAGAGATAGTTGTTGGACTATCATGCCTTGTTTCCTCTGTTTCAGGAAGGTTGGGAGTGTTTTGGGTTCTTTTGGTTTCCTCTTGGCAGTTGGATTCTGGCCAACTGTTTCATTCTCCCCTTTTGTAATGTTTTATTAGCATTAATAAAATGTTACTTTCTTTGCTGATCAAAAAAAAAAAATCTTTCACTTCATCAGAATGAACCTCAAATGATGCAGTTATTTCCTGTTTATATGGAAAATGCACAATAGCAGTAGTGTTCATTGACTCCATCATCAACATTTAGGATAGAAATGAAAGACAGGATACAAAAGCCCCATAAAAATTCAAACTCAATTAAATGCAAAGGCAAAACATATGATTCTTTGAAGCACAAAAACAATTTAAATCAATTATGGTTGAGACCAAAGCTTGTAAAAAAATTTAGGATAAATTATGTTGGGTATGCAGACAACCTTTAATAGAAAGCCCAAGCCTGGGGGTGGGGCCCTCGCAACAGAATTTTTTCCAGGCCTGTTTGGCTATTTTTAGCCCATAGAATTTTACCTTATATAATGTAATAGTGTTTATACATTTTAGGGTTAGAGAGAAAAGAGGTACTACTGCCGTTTTTTAGTGTGAGGGAGAAGAAGAGTGTTTGTAATTCTAGACTCAACATAGTGAATTGGTGTAGCTCTTGAGAATATAGGTAGGTTGCCGAACTTCGTATATCTGTGTGTTTTGTCTATTTATTTTTTCTGTGATTCATAATTTCCAAGATTCATAGGGTTAGGAGTTGAACACGTAGTTTAAATCCTAACAAAATACACTAACCTCCCCTAAGTTTTGGAGAAAATATAGTAAGTCCTACAAGTTTGGTATAATTATACTGGACTCCTTTATGGTTTTAATTCATCACTCTTACCTCTTTTTTCATAAGAAATTCATTAGTGGTATAAATAAAAAAATGTTATTTTCATCTCTCTTACATTTAAGGGTTCGTTTGGGAAGTGGATTGACTTTTTAGCTTTTTGGCTTTTTGGCTATTTTAGCCTGGGCTCAAAAGCCTGATTTGGGAAGGACTTTTAGTTTTTTTGACTTTTTTGTGAGAGAAAGAATGTAATGATTATAAGTTGGATGTGATGCTTTGTCTTATTGGACTAAAAAATCTATTTTATTTTTTGTGACTAAAATAGCCAAAAAAGCCGCAAGTTAGGTTTCCCAAACGAAGCCTAAAGGGCATGTTTGATTGGGTAGATTAGAGTATGAGATTGGGATTATTAATCCGTGGGCCCAATTATCCTATGTTTGTTTTAATATTTTGATTTAGGATTATTAATCCAATAGATAATTAATTCAACAAATTTGTAGGATTATTAGTAATGGGGTAGGGGTAGGATTATTAATCCAATGGATATTAATCCAATTGGATAGTGAATACTACACTAATTTAATAGGATTATTAATACTTCACTATTAGTCTTGTGAATCAAACATGACCTTAGGGCATGGCTGATTGGGTGGATTAGAGTATGAGATTGGGATTATTAATCCGTGGGTCCAACTATTCTAGGTTTATTTTAACATTTTGGTTTGGGATTATTAATCCAATGGATAATTAATCCAAACAAATTTGTAAGATTATTAGTAATGGGGTAGGGGTGAGATTATTAATCCAATGAATATTAATCTAATTGGATAGTGAATACCACACTAATTTAATAGGATTATCACATGGAAGATGTCACCCTTAACCAGAGCCCTGCATCTCCAGTCTACCCTACATGGGGCCCATACTTGAGCAAACTGTAAACCATGAACTTCACGCACAACTTCCAACACCTTGCTAATTTCATCTAAGGCTTCACTTTTTTCCACATTCTGAAACTGGTTGAAAAGTATCGTCACGTCCAAGTATTGTCAGAAGATATTCCTCATTATATTAATTTAAAAAATAAAATAAAATACCAAATTTGACATTACATTACAGTGTACCACTTACAAAATCCGTGTGATGGTCTGCATGTGAAATTGAAGATTCCAAACCTACCTTCTGCAGGATAATGGAAAGATGCCACTAAGGAATCTTGTACACTTTGAAATGTAGAATATTTGTTTGCCAAGAAAAGGAAGCATATAAGAGACTCTATAATGGAAAAACAATTCAGTCACAGTTAAATGAGCACGGAATGCGATAAAAAAATACTTGTTGACGTTTAGCTTTGCTTTCTTTCTTTCTAGCATAGAAGCTCATGCTAATAAGATAAACAACACACTATCTTATCCTCAAATCAATAGTTCATTCATTGTATAAACAACACACTATCTTATCCTCAAATCAATAGTTCATTCATTGTATAAACAACACACTATCTTATCCTCAAATCAATAGTTCATTCATTGTATAAACAACACACTATCTTATCCTCAAATCAATAGTTCATTCATTGTATAAACAACACACTATCTTATCCTCAAATCAATAGTTCATTCATTGTATAAACAACACACTATCTTATCCTCAAATCAATAGTTCATTCATTGTATAAACAACACACTATCTTATCCTCAAATCAATAGTTCATTCATTGTATAAACAACACACTATCTTATCCTCAAATCAATAGTTCATTCATTGTATAAACAACACACTATCTTATCCTCAAATCAATAGTTCATTCATTGTATAAACAACACACTATCTTATCCTCAAATCAATAGTTCATTCATTGTATAAACAACACACTATCTTATCCTCAAATCAATAGTTCATTCATTGTATAAACAACACACTATCTTATCCTCAAATCAATAGTTCATTCATTGTATAAACAACACACTATCTTATCCTCAAATCAATAGTTCATTCATTGTATAAACAACACACTATCTTATCCTCAAATCAATAGTTCATTCATTGTATAAACAACACACTATCTTATCCTCAAATCAATAGTTCATTCATTGTATAAACAACACACTATCTTATCCTCAAATCAATAGTTCATTCATTGTATAAACAACACACTATCTTATCCTCAAATCAATAGTTCATTCATTGTATAAACAACACACTATCTTATCCTCAAATCAATAGTTCATTCATTGTATAAACAACACACTATCTTATCCTCAAATCAATAGTTCATTCATTGTATAAACAACACACTATCTTATCCTCAAATCAATAGTTCATTCATTGTATAAACAACACACTCTCTTATCCTCAAATCAATAGTTCATTCATTGTATCTTTTTGGATTACCATTTAATTTTACATTTTGTGTCACATTGATATTGATAACAATCGTGAAGAAATAACGCAATTACATACTCCTCACATGCCATTCGGCACTGACAAGATAAAAAAAAAAAAGAACAAATAATAGTTGTGCTAATGGTCCATCTAGCTTCATCCTGTATTAATTTTTTTAGTCCGATTAATATCGATTTCAAAAGATTAGCGCTTTGATTTTTGTAATTTGTGGTGGTGTTTGGGAACTTGGTTCCCAAATTTTTCTCATTTTTTCTACTAAAAGACAAAAGTTTTGCAAAATCAAAAAAAAATAAATCCAAACAAAATATCACATCCAACCCCATAATCATTTCACTTTTTCTCTCACAAACATC